TGCTCAGGTGGGCTCCAGGACCCCGTCTCTAAGAATGTGCATTGACCAGGAAGAAAATGCTCTTGTATTCTTATCACTTCTCTGTAGCTCATTTCTACATCCTGTTTCCCTGAAATTCATGACCTTTTCTTCAACTTCTGAGCTGTCTTGAGCTGTCAGGTGTTGAAGTGGCTAAGAAGAATAATTTCCTAATTTATTAATGTGACAGATAAAAAAGAGGCAGAAGAAAAAAGCCAGGGCTTCCCTGATTCCTGAAGGACCAGAGGGCATGTGGACAACCTTTGGGGAAAAGCCCCCACAGCCTCTGTGTGCACCCGGGCAAGGAGAAGGGATGGGTGACCCTGAAGAAGGCTTGAGTATTGAGTCAGGGTGTGTCATTGAAGACTCACATGAGGCAGCAGGCAACTGATGAGAGTAGACGACAGAGACAGGAGACACAGGTGACGAGGGTGATTAGGTCTCCCTGCAGCGCCCCACGCCCACTGGTGTGCGAAGTACAGATTCTCCCAGGCGACGTGCCAGGCAGAGCTCATCATTTCCCACAGCTGGGGAGACTGTGAATTGCCCAGAAGTGTGTAAAGAGTTGTATTGTGGATCTATTGAGCCAGCGTGCTTCATACACAAAGCTAATTAATCCCTTTGAAGTTGGGAAAAGTAGACAGAATCTGGTTTTTACAGTGTCACCTCACAGGCAACAAGCAGTGACAGTTTCTCACCCACCAGCTCCTTCAATCTTGGCTTTTTTTTTTTTTCAAAGCAATGCAACACAATGCAGTGCAGTGATTTGACTTTCTCTCTCTTTCAGCTTCCCAGAGTATGACCACAGAGATCCCAGGTGAGTTTGAGGCCCCATTGTATGTGTCCCTTCTGTCTGTGGTCACTTCCCCAGCCCTCGACAGGGAGCTACAGGAGGGCAATGTCATGTTGTCATGCTTTTCCTCTACCTTTTTCATTTTCCCTGTGTGTGCTGTGTTGGTGAGCTGCCAGTGTCATGGCCGGTTTGGGAGAATTAGCACATTCTGACCTCCAGGAGATGTGTGTGGACTGATGGCCTTGACCTTGTAGTTTTGGTGGCTTCAGGGTCTCTCTGCCTGGTTCTTTTCTACTTGAAATCTTGTCTGAGTCAAGAATTGTGTATGAGAGAAGCACGGAGATGGTTAATGCCATTGGCCCCAGACAGATACTGTAACTTTTGCGAAACTGTCTTTTCCATTGGTTTACATACAAAAGTCGTATACATAGTGTTTTATTTATATACACTGCATTCATGCGTTCTTCCATTCACCGTGTATTTCACACTATCATTCCCATCCATTGTATTTTCTAGAACTAATCACCATTGGCCCATGCCCGCCTATACAGACTTTTTTTTTAACATATTGAAACACCACCACCCCCCAATCGCCCTCGTTCCCAGAACCCTGGGCGGTGAGGTCACTTCCTACCATCTCTCTGGATGAGGCTGCTCTCTTGCCCATTCAGCAGAGTTTTCTCAAGCCTCGCTGCCCCTTTTCCAGCTGACGGTCTCTGAATGCTACCGTGAGCCTAGTCCACTCTTTCCCAACCCCACTTTGCTGACCCTGACCATTGTTAAGGGGGTTGCAGTGATGCTCTTAGGTGAAGATGTTCCCAAATAGAATCGCCTTTCTGGGCAAGGAAGGAAATGTGACAGAAAGCAAATGTATCCCCTAATTAATTTCCCAGTGCACTAAAATTTTATTTTTTCCCCCAAGAGAACATTATGTAGATAGTGTTTTTAAACTCCCTCTGAAAAATGAAGACACCTTCACTGTGTGATTTAGAGACAGAGGAGGTTTCTGTGCTCATCTTCCCACCTCACTTTCATAAGATGCTTGAGAGGGACGTAATCAGCAAAGGTAGACACGAAAATAAAGTTGTGAGCACTAAACTGGATGAGGAATTCAAACCACGTAGAACACACTGTGTCTCCAGTGGGGTCTCATGTGCACAGTGGCTTCCTGGATCACGTACTGATACCTCCTTGATTTAACCTCAAAGGGCATGCTCCGGAAGGTCTCAGAGAAGTAGGCAGGCAGGTTCCGATGAAGAAAGTGTCCAACTTGAAGGCCAGCTCAAGGCCCCGTGTTGACTGCACACCCCCATCACTTCATGGCTAAGTGAGCTGTAGAGAAGCAGTGCTCAGCACGTCCACGGTTGTAACAGGGAGACTAGATTCACGTGAAAGCATGGTGGCCATTTTAGCTTGTCCACAGTCTCTGTAGGAATGGGCTGGCTCCCTCTTCGGTCAGGTTGACCTATGTGTCCTGTGTCCTCTTGTTCTTTTCAGAGACCACAGTTGGTACAGATTTACCTACAGCGGAAACAAGTAAGTTTCCCCATCATTCTCCTTAACAGTCACTGCGTCCTGTATGCTAAAGGGATCGCTTGAGTTTGGAGAGTGTTAGGGGCTGGATGCATTAGTTTCAAATGTCCTTCCAGAAAATTCTCAGAGCACACTTTGGATGGGAAGTCTAGGCAGCGTCCATAGGCCAAGGAATCATCCAGTATCTCCCAATCTCTCAATGTCCTCTCCAAGGAAGGAGTGGGAGGTGCCCTGTTTCAGGAGGGATGAAAGCCACACATGCAGGCTGACGTAGCCGTCATAGCTCTGAGGTGGGATGCCTGGTGGGAGGAGAGTACATTCATCGACCAAGAGGACTTGTGTGTAGGACATGGAGGGAGCAGAGCAGAGTGAAGCCATCCTGGTGTGAAAGGCTCCCTCCTCAGTGGGCAGTTGGCCTGGGCATCGTGCAGACGTAGGGAAGGTGAGGACAGAGATGTCCCTCCTTCAGCACAGTCCCTGGGGCCTTAGGAAGGAAAGGATCACTGTCCACATCCTTAAGAGGATTTGATCCTGCCTGATCATTCTGTTGTTATTGGAAAACCGTCCTGAGGACCTCATGTGTCACCTCATTGGGTTAGTTCCAGGTTTGGAGCTAAGGCTCATGACCGGGGTCAGGGCTGAATGGAGGTCCTGTCTGAAGGCTGCTGGGGCACTGTGTGTGATGACAGCTGGGACATCAATGACACTAACATGGTCTTCAGGCAGCTTGCCTGTGGCTGGGCTGTCTCAGCTCCAGGAAATGCTGGGTTCAGTCAGGGCTTAGGACAGATAGTCCTGGACGATGTGTGCTGTGTAGGACACGAGTCTTCCCTCAGGAGCTGCCCCCACACCGGCTGGCTCTCCCGCAGTTATGAACACCATGAGGACGCTGGTGTCCTCTGCTCAGGTGGGCTCCAGGACCCCCTCTGCTGGAATGAGGAGCTTTCGAGTACGGAAGGTGCTTGTATGTTGATCACCTGACTGCGAGTCTATGCCACATTCTGTTTTCCTAAAATGTCACAGTTTTCTGCCTAGAAATATTTGTTCTTCTTGAACTTTCTTTTGTTGTGGTGGCCAATCAGGACATTGAACCAAACAAAAAGCAAGAAATACGGGTTTTTGTTTGTGTTTTTGGTTCTTTTCACTTCTTGGGACATGAAGGCAAGAACCAGAAATGAAAAGCTCTAGGCCCCTAGTGGGCCTTCAATGGTCAGAACACGCGGCCCAGTGGAGTGAAATATCTCCCAAACCATTAACGCGGGCCCTAAGAAAGAGGGAGCGGATAACTGGAAATGCGGGCTTATTGAATAGTGAGTGAGACGGTGGCCTCAAAGGCCCGTAAGAGGCCCCTGAACATACACATGAGTATGGTTGGCGTAGAAGAAAGGGACACCTTGTTCTAGATTGTGACCCCTGCCGTGCACGGAGCGTGCTGGTGTGTGAAGTGTACTTCTTCCTAGAAGATAAGCCAGGCAGTGTTTCGTAATTGCCCGTGGGTGGAAAGACTCAGTTGATTGCTTAAAAATGCAAAGCAGTCCGTTAATTATGAATATCCTTAGTCACCATCATTCAGACACAAGGCTAATCCTTTCGAAGTTGAAAATGTTGGGGAATCTGTTTGGGTTTTACACAGTGACGCCTTTTGACTGAAAAGATAGATGACATGACCCGCTCCCTGTGGAGGGAACAAGCTTTGGCTAAGTTTTTGACCAGCTCAGTTTCTTCAATCTTTGCTTTCCAACTTGGCACCTCAGTGCAATTCATCTGATTTGCCTTTCTCTTTCTCACAGCTTCCCAGGGCGAGTCCACACACACTCCAGGTGAGTTCGCTGTCTCAACATATGCGTCCCTTCCTTCCGTGTTCCACACACAAACCTCAACAGGGAGCAACAAGAGGGGAGAATGTTGAGATACTTCACTTTTCTTCTTCACCTTGGATGAGTCTCTGCGTGAAGGGTGTATGTTGAGCTCCTTGCTTGTGAGTCCTCTTGTCTACTTTGGGAGGATTGTGTCTGGCCTCCAGCATGAGTTCCTAGGCTGAGGTCACTTTGAGGTTTGCTAGTGAAAGGAATCTCTATACCTGGGTCTTGTCATCTTTAACACTTGCCTAGGCTATGAATTGTGGATGAAAAGAGAGATTTATGGCATCAGCTCCAGAGAGACTTTTGTGATGTTTTACCAAAGAACCATCTGGCAACTAAGAATTACAGTTTGTCTTTGTGTATTCAAGCTCCATGCTGCCATTTTTCTTGGCCACCCAGGCCGTGGTTGTTGTTGATGGCAGGCTACTTTCTCTCCCACCGGATGAAGCTTCTTAAACGTCCAGTCCATTCTCTCTAACTGACGGCTTCTGAATGCTACAGTGATCCCAAGTTCACGCTGTTCTGATCTCTTTGCTCTTTGTTTTGCTCTGCAGATTGGTGGCACACCAGTACTCCTTCTAATGGTGAGTATCACTTGGTTCCAGGCACAATATCAAGTTCAATGTCCTTATCAACAGGACTGAATGCATTGCAGACGTTGTGCTAAGTCTCTCTAGGATAGCGCTCACCAGTTGTGGAGAATTCCTTTGGGGGACAATTTCTTTTCTCCCTCCCGCCCCTGTGTCATGTTTTTTTTTGTTTTTTTTTTCTTCTGTTGTGTACCGTCAAATCAGATCAGACTGGCACAGGAAGAGCTTGTTCCTCCTTCCCCAGTGGAGCATCTCATGGATTTGAACATTGTGCCTTCGGGATTGTAGCACAGGTCCTTGCCACTAGGCCACCAGAGCTCCCAAGAGGAACCATTTCTAAATTGTAATATCAGGGGATATATAAACCATGTTTCTTTTGTTTGTTCATGAGCGGAAGTCAGCTCAAATGCCCCTAAATTCTAAGATAATTAAATGTCACACATAACTGGGGGGAGGGGGTCTGTTTGGATTAAGAGCTGGATTCAGAAATCCCTGCATGTTTTCCTGTGAGTGAATTTTGCATTCAACTTGCTCTTTGCATGTGGGTGGGAATAGCAGTCGTCAACTCACTTTCACCCAAGACTAGACTTGTTGTTATGTGCCTTCAAGTTGCCTGAGACTCATAACGACCCCATTTACCAGAGCCCTAACCCTGCTCTATTCTGTGCCAACCTCGTTGTCTCTGACACACCCACCTGCGTTACCCAGTCACTAAGTTAATCCATCTCATCCATAGTCTTCCTCTCTTGGGTTGTCCCTCTACCCTGCCAAGCATGACGTCCCTCTCCAAGGACTAGTCCCTCCTTGCAACATACAAGTCCAAAGCATGTCAGACGGAGCTTCAGAATCGTTGCCTCAAAGGAGCAACCTGGTTTCACCTTCTCTAGGATGAACCTGGCTGTTCTCCAAGAAGTCCATGGTGTTGTGGTTATTGTGTACCGTCGAGTTGGAACCGGCCCATAGCTGAGGCAGTTTAATCATATGTGAGGAGATTTCCCATCCTTCTCCTTCAGAGCAGCCGGTGGTCTTGAACCCTGTGCCTTAGGGATTGCAGTGCAGCTCCTTGACACTAGGCCACTAGAGCTTCCTTATATTAAGGAAACCAGAGCTTTCCTTATATTACCACTTAAAAAGTCCTGGGAGGACTCTGATCTTGAATGTTAAAGTCTCTTACTCCTGACCCATCTCATTGGGTCTAATGGGCCATTCTAGACCTTAGACCATTTCTTCATGTTCTTCAAAGGACCAGAGGACCATGGGGGCGTTAGTCCCTATACCTCGGGTCATGCATCTGTGGTTTTTTAAAATGCACAGTGGGCTGAAAAATAGAGCAGTGATATGCATGACAGATTGCAGTCCTAATGAAGAGTTTTGGGTTTTCTTACGCAGATTGAGGCCCATCTCCTCCTCCAGAGTCCTTGCGGAGGCCCTTGTCTCTGCCTAAGGAATCAGTGCCGTGTTTTCACTCTCCTCTAGACTGGCCCTGGTGAGTCAGTCACCACATGGGCCAACGTTTTAGGAGACAAACTTCAAGAACAAGATGGTGCTCAACAGACTTTAGTCAACACGCAAGACATTCCCAGAGCTAGAAAACATCAATGTCAGGGTCAGAACAGACTTTAGTTAACACCCAAGACATTCCCAGAGCTAGAAAACATCAATGTCAGGGTCCAAGGCTTCGGTGCACTTGTAGGATGTTTTGTTTCATTTTACAGAAGCTTATTCTTTAAATGTAAGTCATGCACCAAATCAGCACTTCATTCTAACGACCAAGTCAGCACTTCATTCTAACCACAAGTGAGATAGAGGTTGAAGCCTTTGAAGCCGTAAATCTAGATGTTTTAAGAAGATCAGAGTTAAGGTTTTTCATCACCTCAGTCACAAAGAACAGCTTGTTTTTGTCAAATTTCTCGACTCCACCTATGGCCAGAGGCCTGTGCCCTGTGCCCTTCACTGAAGGTCCTTGAGACTCTCCTGTTCTGTTTGTGCTTGGAGGCTGCATGGCCCTCTCCAGGCCCTCGGTCTGCTCCCTATGCTGTTTCCCAGGCTCCTCTTTGCCACTTGTACATGGCACGGAAGCATTCAGCCGCCCACCTCAATCCCATATTCTCAACATGTTCCTTGTCTTGTCTGGACCTACTGGCTCCCACTTGAAGAATCTTAAAGGTCACCACAGTGACCTCAGGACCTCTCATATCAGAAACGTTTATTTCCCCTCATTGAATTTGGGGTTGAGTCTTGAGAAGGTAGGGGAGTGAATCCAGGGCCACACAGAGGTAATGCACCAATGTTCAACACAGGCCACTGACCTCATTGGCCAAGTGTTGTCATCAGCCCCCTGACTGTTGTGGTGTTGTTGTCATTGTGTGCTGTTGAGAGGGAGCCAACTCCTAGCTGACCCTCCAGCAGGTTCTCAGAGGCAGTAAATCACGTAGGAGGAAATGGTCCATGTTTCTCCCACAGAGCAGCTGGTGGATTCGAACTGCATGCCTTTAGGATGGCAGCGTAGCTCTTCATCACTAGACCACTCAAACTCTCTACCTTAGGCTATAGTGTTCTCAAAAGAAACCACTTCGGGGAATCAGGGAAGAGAAATGAGGAACATTCTTGCTGGTCGAGATCAGGAGAAGGCAGGTGGCTTCTGAAGAGGCTCATCAACGTAAGTTTGCTAACAATTTGTGAGGAACTTTGTCTGGGATCTCAGGGAGCTAGTCCTGGAGGGCGTTGTACTGATAACCCCAAAGTGAGGCTCTCCTAGTGTTTAAATCCACCAGCGGATCCTGGACAGAAAGATGACGGGCAGTCTCCTCTTGTGCAATTTACAGCCTCTGAAAAGTCTGGAGGGTCAGCTGGGTCCGTTCTAACTCAGTGGCAATGAGTGGAGTTTATCAGAAAAGGTGGACATAACATCAAAATTGTGAGGACTAAAGCTCTATGGTTAAAACCACTAAACACCGGCTACCGTGTGTCTCTCACTGGCTCTCAGTGCACCCAGCTGCCTGCCCCACCCGTGACCACCTGGAAGGGCACAGGCAGCCAGGCAGTGTGAGGGTTAGAGAGGAAGGGGCAGGAAGGCCACGTGATGCCAGGCATGTGAGGGTTAGAGAGGAGGGAGCTGGTCGTTCTGATTCAGAAAGCGCCACAGTTACAAAGTCTTCCCTAGTTCCGGTGAGGATGTCACACTATCTGATCACTTTGTGGTAAATTAGCATGGAAGCAGTGATGTCCAGGCCCTACAGGTGAGGTAGTCAGGTGACCAGCTTCCCATGAAAGCATGGAGGAGACCCTGTGGGCTGGACACGGCCTCAGTGGGCACAGTCTCCTTGCCCTCCTCAGTTGGGCAGACCTTCACATTGGGTCTCTTCTCTTTGCACCTTTCAGAGACACCAGGGAGCATGGTTTCAACTACAGTGGAAACAGATAGGTTTTGTTCACTGGTTACTGCCCTCTACATTCCCAAAAGTTGAATTGACTAGGAAAGGGAGAGCTTAGCCAAGTGGTGGGAGTTCTCAGAGCACAAGGGAGGGTGTATTCACTCTCCAAAAGTCAAGGAATCAGAAGGAATCTTCAAACTCCTCTCACTGATTCCGTTAAGGACACACTGGGGAAGTGGGGGTTGAGTGTCCTGTTTCAAAGTGGTGGTTCTCTCAGTGCTGATGGGAGACACTGAGAAACCTATGGATTCTGGGGAGCCTGGGCATTTGTATTTGAGCCAAGGGCTTCAGAGGGCAAGAGGTCTATGCACCGTCCATCAGAACCTGTGAGCAGGGCCAGCGTTGCAGAGAGAGGCCGTTCTGGAGTGAGAGGGTCTCTTCTCAGTGGGGGGCTGGCATGGGTGTGAGACATAGGTTAGAAAGATGAGAAATCAGGGTTGTTACCCTTTTAGAACAGAGTCCCTGGGCTCCAAGAAGGGAAGGAATCACTGTCCGTATCCTTACAGGAACTTGAACCTGCATGAACCATCTGTTGCTATGGGGAAGCAGTCTTGTCTGTGCATAAACTAAGGCATGGACATTTAAGACAGAATCTAACAGGAAATACTTGTGTCCCTCTTAGGGTCAGTTCCAGGTTTGGAGCTAAGGCTGGTGAATGGAGGTGACCGATGTCAAGGCCGAGTGGAGGTCCTGTACCGAGGCTCCTGGGGCACCGTGTGTGATGACAGCTGGGACATCAATGATGCCAACGTGGTCTGCAGGCAGCTTGGCTGTGGCTGGGCTGTGTCAGCTCCAGGAAATGCTAGGTTCGGTGAGGGCTCAGGACAGATCGTCCTGGACGATGTGCGCTGCTCAGGACACGAGTCCTTCCTGTGGAGCTGCCCCCACAACGGCTGGCTCTCCCACAACTGCAGACACACGGAGGACGCCGCCGTCATCTGCTCAGGTGGGTGTTTGAGATAAGGTTGCTCAGGAGAACGCTCTTGTGTTTCCATCCACTTACTCCAGCCGAGTTCCTTATTCCGCCTCCCTTAAATGCCACTAAATTTCTGCTAAGAGTTGTTCATTATCCTTGAGCAGCAGCTGGGTGTTGAGGTGGCCAGTCGGGACCGCGGACCAAACCTCAAGCAGCAAATGAGCTGTTCTTGGTTTTGATTTTTTCACCTCTTGGAACATGGACACAAGAGTCAGAAATGAAAGGCACCAGGTCCCCCGTGTGCTTTTCCGGATCACAAGGTGCAGCCCTGTGTAGAAAATGTCTCCAGAACTCTCTCCTTGAACCTGAGAAGGGGAGAGAATGGGTGGCCACGGGTGTAAAATTCTTGAATATTAGATTGTGTGCTCAGAGACCTCGCAGGGTCACTGGTCATTCATGTGAGTACGGTTGGCACAGAAGGGAGAGAGGTTTTGTGCTTCCCTGGAACCCCGACTTAGCACCAAGCTTGCTGGTTTGTGGACCGTGATTTGTCCTGGGAGATTTGCCATAAAAAGCTCATGAACTGTCCATAGAAAGCTTCTATCTGTCAGGTTAGAAGACGCAGTGGGTTATAGAATAGCGCATAGCCACACCTTGGTCATGGGTGTATTATTCACCGTAATTTAGACATAACCTTAATCTCTTGGGATTGGAAAAAGGAAAACACATGTTTGGGCTCTACGTGGTTACACTGCGTCACAGAGGACATGGTGACGAACGGCCCACCTGTAGGAGGGGACGCACCTTGACGGACCTGACAATCCCACGCCTCCAGTACGTGCATCTGAAGTTGTGTTTTCTTTCTCACAGCCTCCCAGGTTCATTCCACAATGCTTCCAGGTGAGTGCACTCCCTCTGGCCGTGCTCACACCCAGCCCTCAACAGGAAGCTCAGAGGGGAGCAGGTCGAGTTGTTTCCTCTTTCATCCCCTATCCTGGATGGTTCTGCCCTAGGTACTGTCGAGCTTCTAGCAGGCGGCTGCTCTTAGCTAATCAGGAAGGACTTGGTGTCCTGGCTTCCAACATGAGCTGCTATGTGGACCTCACTTAGAGAGTTTGGTCATAAAATGATGCGCTCCTCATGGGTCTTTTCTGTGTGAACCCATGCGGGGTCATGAACTGAGAATGAAAACAGAGACATTTTATGCCGTCTGCCGGGGATAATGCATGAGATGCTTTTACCAAGGAACCAGCTCTCAGCCAAGAAATGGGTTTTCGTGTGGTTTTGGGTTTGTTTGGGTTTTTTTTTTTTTGGTAGATTCGACCACCTCATTGCCCTTACTCTAGACGTCAGGGCCATGATGTCACTTTTGACGAGCCATGCAGATGAAGCCACTTTCTCTCCCTCTCAGCGGGTCCTCACAGTCCAATTATCCCCAGCCAGTGTCTCTGGAATGCACCAACATTCCCACATTCACTCTGCTCTAACCCTGCCTTGTTTTCCTCTGCAGAGTGGTGGTATACTTCAACTTCTTCCTATGGTAAGTGTCATTTGGTTCCAGTCAAAACACGGAGCGCAGTACTCTGTCAACAGGTCTGGATAAAGTTGTAGATGTTACGCCGAGACCCTCTAGGTCCAGGGCTGGTTTCCTCTATAATTGTAGTTTCAAGGCTGCTGAATCAAACATGTTGCCTTTGTTTGTGAGTGAGTGGGATCCAACTCTCTGTCCCTAAACTGGTAACAGAATTCATCACCATACTCACCTGGGATGCAGAATGCTTCAGTACAGCAGAGTTCCACTTCCTAGGCTCTCTTGGGCTGCATGTGGATGGAAAGACACAATTGTCAACCATCTTCCCCCTCTGCAAAGAGACGTAGTATTTTTTCCTTAGGTGCCCAGGACTCCTGCGAGGTCCCAAACAGCCTCTGTGTCAACACTCTCTCACCCGTGAATCGTCTGCTCTAGGTCTGATGGACCAGTCTGCATCTTAGACCTTTTCTTCATGTTCCCCATGGGACCCGAGGAGCATGTGAGCTTTAGTCCAAGTGGAGCCACAGAGCAAGTGTCTTCTTGTTGTTTAAGACACTGAATGTTTCGATGAGGCTGAGCATTCCAGCAGACGTGTGAGAGACAGAGGAGCGCTACCAGCAGAGTCCCTCCCGTCCTGACTGTGAGCTGAGCGGGCTGTCAGTTCCCCTCAGAGCCATTGGAGGGACCCTTCTCCCCCTGAGAAGCAGGGCCCAAGTCTGCACTCTGCGTCTGACTGGGGCTCGGGTTCCAGTCACATGTTCCAACGGTTTTGAAATCGTCCTCTTAGGAACAGAATGGAGCTTCACCGGCTTTAGTCCAGGCACCGTTATACCACCCCTCCCCCTCCCCATGCTAGGGAGCCTTAACCTGGGAGCCAGAGGCCTGGGTCCATTTAGGAAACCTTGGGCTTCGTTTTACCTGAGGACCGCCTCTGTCAGGGCATTTCTTTCCCTCTCTTTCATTGAATTTGGGGTTTCCCTGGGGGCAATGAATGGAAGGGCTCAAAGTCAGTGCTCCATGGAGCTACTTTACCAGATGACACCCCAGGGATTGCCGTCAGCCCACAGATAGATGGTTGAGTTCTCAAGAGAAGTAACCTTTAGGGATCAGGGGAGAAAAGAGAGGCATTGAGGGAGTGAAGGAGCGAAAGAGACCTCAACACTGTGGAGATCTGGAAGAGGGAAGTGACTTCAGCAGAGTGTTTCCATCTAGGGTCTGTGAGGCCCTGGAGTGGGGCTCCATCAGAAAACAAAAATGTAACAATAAAGTTATGAAGACTAAGCTCAAGGATTTTAAAAAAACACACAAAACCTGCTAAGTCAAACCAAACCACAAAACACACTGTCTCCCACTGGATCTGAGGTGCAGCCCAGCTTCCTGACCTGCTTCCAGGTCACCTCTGTGATTCTGCCCCAGGAGAGCAGGCCCTGCAAGGCCACATGCTGCCAGGGAGAGGGAGGCTCAGAGAAGGAGGTAGCATACGTGTTCTGATTCAGAAAGTGCCACCGTTTCTGAGAGTCTGCTCCAGTGTCGTGCACTCTCATCAGTTCATTGATGAGTTGGCGCTGGGGAAGTATGCCCAGTACCTAGAGGGTGGCAGTAAGGTGACCAGCTTCCCATGAAACATAGAGACCCTGTGGGCTGGTTAAGGTCTCAGTGGGTTAACCTGGCATTTCGTCTTCTCTTTGCCCTTTTTAGAGACGACAACAAGAAGAGATTCATCCACAGACGAAACAGGTAGGTTTTGCTCACCACTCACTGCCCTCCATACACTCAAAAGTTGGGTTGAGTTTAGGAAAAAGGAAGAACTTGGAAGCATTAAGCTAAGAGGGTGTTCCCAGAAAATCCTTGGAACACAAGGTATATATAGGATCTGGTCTCGGCCCAGCGGCCAATGAAGCAGGTGGAATCCCCAACGTTTTTCCTGTGTGCTCCTATTAGGGAGTTCTGGGGGTGCTGCTTCTGGAGTGGTGATACTCCGTGTGCCCATTTGAGCCTTGGTGGGTGTAAAGGTCCTGGGTGGCCTGGCTGTCTTGGCGCTGAGTACGTGACTGCCCAGTGTCAGGAGAATGCGTTCACCTACGTCAGGAGCAGAGCAGAGCAGAGAGCAGCCATCCTGTTGTGAACAGCTGCTTCTCACTGGGGAGTTGGTCGCACAGGATGCCCAGGTTACGAAGATGAGGAACAGGGACATTATCCTTTAAGCACAGAGTAGCTGGGCTCCAAGAAGGGAAGAGATAACTGTCCATATCCCTGAAAGGATTCGAACCTGTATGTCCAAGCTGTTGCCGTTAGGAAGCTGTTCTGGCTGTGCACAAACTCCAAGACATTGACATTTAAAACAGAATCTGTTAAGAAATCCTTGCGTCCCTCTTAGGGACAGTTCCAGGTCTGGAACTAAGGCTGGCGAATGGAGGTGACCGGTGTCAAGGCCGAGTGGAGGTCCTGTACCGAGGCTCCTGGGGCACCGTGTGTGATGACAGCTGGGACACCAACGATGCCAACGTGGTCTGCAGGCA